AGAGGAGCCCTAAATAAATAGGTCTTACTCCAATGAGCTCCTTATGGAAACTGATTTTATTCGTCAAGGTTCTCTTATAAGTACGATACATGAGAATCTTAAATTTATGTAAAACTACTTGTCAACGCACTGCACGCTGACCTGCTATGCGACCCTTTCTCAAGTGCGATAAGTGCACCACTTATGTATGTGTTTGTGTTAGGCTGCAGGGGATCGGTTTTAAACCATCTGTTTGACTCGTATTTCATGGGTCCGATCCCTTGAAACTCTAACTTAAGAATTTCTATAAAAAAATAGTGTTCAATGCTTGAACACCTTCCTTTATATGGTCGTCGTCCCGGGGACCCACTCGTTCTACATCGTCGTCCGCACTCGATTTCTTGCGGCGATTGGCCTTCAGGTGATATTTGCCAATGCACAGGATTCTATTATGTCGTTGAACCGGGTAGACTGTTATTCTCTTACTTACGAGGTTCGGATTAGGAAATTTAATGAGAAAGTGCAGAATGTCAGATTTTTAAAAAATGCTTATGCTAGATACTTCTAATATTTCTACCAAAGTAATATTAATATTAATAGGCTGTTTGTCTCTGAATTCGCTTACGTCGGCACCATGTAGAATAGCTGGGCTTACAATATTTAATTTTGCTAGGGTTAGGCCCATAAGCATGTTTTCTTGGTCTGTAATGATGATTCTATTCTTTGCTAAAATGATTTCCAACAAGTGTGTTTCTTTATTTGTTTCGTATTTCTGAATCTGATTTATTGCAATAGCGAGCTCATTTGGACGTTCTAGAAATTTTATATTTAATTCTGTCTGACCTTCATCTGCCCTCGTTAACCGGTTCTGATTAAATCTTACCTGCTCCCAATCAGTAAAGTCAGGCGTACCTGCAATAACCTTCAGAGCCGTACCAATTAAATAAATACTTCTAGTAGCCCTGTGGTGGAACTTAAAGCCTAGTACTGAGTTGACGAAAATCCGCTGTTGAAAATCCGATAACGATATCGCACTTTATTCAGTTACCAAGCTAGTGTGACCAAAAAAATTAAGAAATAAGGTAATACTGAACAGCTGTTGTTTGTAAACAAAAGACCAATAAGCAAAATGAATTCAAATCAATTGGATGTTGGTGTTTTGTTGATGTATCTCGCCGCTAAGGAGCTGATTAGGAAAAAGAAAACGGTCAAAATCAAAATCAAAATCAATCACAAATCATTTCAATGCCATTTTATGGAATTAAAATGACCCTTGTGGGTCAAATCCCATATTATCCCAAATCCCATTTCTACCAAATACCATTTCCGATCAATCAGTTATATGGCAGCTATATGATATAGTCGGCCGATCCGGGCCGTTCCGACTTATATACTGCGTGCAAAGGAAAGAAGGGTGTGTGCAAAGTTTCAAGTCGATAGCTTTAAAACTGAGAGACTTGTTTGCGTAGAAACAGACAGACGGACAGACGAACATGCTCATATCAACTCAGGAGGTGATCCTGATCAAGAATATATATACTTTATAGGGTCGGAGATGTCTCCTTCACTGCGTTGCACACTTTTGACCAAAATTATAATACCCTCTGCAAGGGTATAAAAATCAGTGTCGTTAAAATAATTCGGTTCAAAATATTCAGGCCATAAAATGAAGTTTCGGTCAATAATATGTAACATTTTATTAAATCCATATCGATAACCCTTGGGAGCCCTTGGAGATACCCACTGATGTGCACCTTAAAAGCAAAAATTATTCAAAAATTTTGAAATAAGTTTTAAGAAATCAAATAAGAAATCAAATCGGCCTAAAACAATCAAACATTTTATTCAATCCATATAGATAATCCTTGGGAGCCCTTGGAGATGCCCACTGTATGCACCTTAAAAGCATAAATACTTCAACAAAGAAAATCAGTGTGTGTATAGGGACACGCGTGAGGAACGAAGTTCCTTTGGCATGTTTGGCAATGAAGGAGAGACAGGAGTGAATGAAGGCAGAAAATGATTTACAACAACAATTTACAACATTATATGTACAAAAATGATTTTGAATCATTTATACTCGTGACTCTCGCGTAGTGGGGAGCATGAGCAGTGGAGAAACGCTCGACTGTGGAGAGCGAGAGAGTGGAAAAATGGTTATATTCTCTCACTCTACGCAGAAAAACCAGACAGATAGCCGTTTAACGTTACGTTACGGTTTTTCTCGGCTAGCCCTCCTCCGCCAAACTCATACCGCACCATAAGAAACGTCGTTCCAAAATATAAAAAAAAAAAAAAGAAAATCTGACCACACATTTGTTATATAATACCACTAACCATACAGCATATAGACAACCCATTTCATACAACGAAAATGGACGCAAAAATTTCTTGCGACAGGCCCCAAAAATGGCAGGCCCCAGAGCGGATTTCTTACGCTCTCTTACGCTCATCGTTCGTTCATCTTACGCTCATTCTCGCATTAAATGTTTTCTGTTTCTCAGTCTCTAAACGGAGCGCGATGAAGAAGGTTGGCCTGCGCTTCGGTTGATCTTCGTATGTATGCGTGTCACACATTCACATACACGGGATGTGTGCGTGCGATTTCGTTTCGAAGCCAGCGCACAAAATTTTGATTTTTCTTACTTTTCAGGCTTGCTACCCTAACCAAATTCGGGTATTCGTTATTTGATGAAATGACGAAAGAAATTATATTATTTTTTATATTATATTTTTTATTATTGCAGCATACATTTTTAATTTGTTTAGGAATAAGATAAAGTGTTAGTAGTAAAATGATTTCTGTATATATATTTTTCCGAATCATTAAAAATCAATATACTGAGAAAGTGTCAGAGTATATTTCAGTCGGAGTCACTTAAAACGCCGATTGCTTTTAAGTTTTTGTTGTTCTGCAAGAGGCTTGTGCATGCCTACTCTAACGATGGAATGATTTTTAGGGGAGGGTGAAGACACGAAAACAGCTGATGGACTTGTTTACCTTTTTTGTTTACAATTTGTCAGGCACTTGTTATTAATTTGGGTTATTGTGAGATTTTATTAAATTATTGTCGTTAATTTAATAATTTCCTTATATATTTTGGAACTTTAAAAAAGTCGCCGCTCGAATTTGTTACAGATATATGTATATACATATATATAAATATATATATATATTTACATTGGTTTTATGCTTATGGATTCTTATATGGTTTTATGATCTATAGTGCATATCTTATTGTATGATCTGCAGTGTAATTTAAAATATATACATGAATATAAAAATGTCACTACCGTGTTTACACACCGTAATTTCCCTGTGGTATGCCTTTGGAGTTCTTGGCAATGAAAGTGTTATCTTGCGCCCCAAAACTATTTTTTTTCTGTTTTGTTTTGATTCTTGTAATTTTTGGTTGCCACTTATATATATTGCCATTTGATGAAGAAGAGGAAAATGGTTTAATCGGCATTCTATTTTTGTTCTGTGAGGAGCGTTTTTCGTGAGGACCTAATTAAGTGCTGATTTTTGTGAACCAAGTGATTAGTATCGGTGTGTTAATATATTTTTCGGAAATATTTTTAGTAAACGTAAACTTTCCGAGGGTCCGTGGCTAAATCATCATCAATTGCAAGTATAAATCTAGTTATTTAAACCTTAAATAATTTATTTAAATATTCGGTTTAAATATTTTTGAAATGAATCGGCTTAATGTTAGGAAAAATGGACGCAAGTGCATTATTGCATCCTGCCAGGGGAGTTACAGGGATTCATCACACTCCATTCCAATTAGATTGTTTTCTTTTCCATCGGATGATAGGAATCTTAAGAAATGGGTTGAATTGTGCCAATTGGGTGACACTTTTAACAGACGAACTGCGCGAATTTGTAACAGACATTTTGAAAGTAAATATATTGGGAAAAGTAGGCTTAGAAGCAATGCCGTACCCACTTTAAATTTATGTGACAATTCATTATTGCGTCCGAACAGTACTGTTTCATGTGAACAATTTGAATTTTGTGATGATGGGGCGGAAGAACCAATTGGCACTTATATTAACCGAATAGGAAGGAAAGAGTTCTTAAATAGGGTAGGTAGCCCTTCCAATTTAGAAACTCCCAACTTAGAAAGTTCACCTCAGTTAGAAGATTTTTGTTCCAATTGCCAGAAGAGGGAAGAAAATTATAGATTTTACAGAAAAAAGAATTATGAGATGTCTCTTGAACTAAAAAAATACAAAGAAAAAATGCAAAAAATGAGAAGGGCTTTTGTTTTAATGAAAAATTCTAGTAGACGAAAGGGTCTGAGAAATAGTAAAAAAAGCACCCTAAATTTATTTAATATCTATATATATAAAAGAACATCGTGTTTTATGTTACACCACTTATAAATCAAGAACGGAAGAACAGATTTGAGTGAAAATTGGTAGGGAGGTAGCTTAGAGCCAGGAGAAGGACATAGGATACTTTTTGTCCCGTTCGACAGCGTTCCTCCCTGGCCCATACTTTTTTATTTAGGCAGACAGCTAAGAAGAAAATGTCAAATGTCAAAATGTCAGTTACAAACGAAGTCAAATTCATAGTCAGGCTCTCAAATTTAACAACGAACCAAAAAGATTGTGTTGCGCTGAAATCAATATTAAAACTATTTCTATTAAATAAATAATTAACAAGTGGATTGAAGTGAAGTTTAATTAATAATGCCGCGACCAAGACGGTCGAATCTTTCCCGACAAAGCCGTAATGCAAGAAGAATACAAAATATTGCATATGAAAGGACTGAAGAAGAACGAGAAATTGCACGTGAACAGCGCCGCAATAGTATGGCTCGACTTCGTGCTTCTCAAATAGATTTCAATTTGCGACGCAGATATTTAGCTGATTTGAATCGAGCTGCGTTTCGATACGATTGCAGCAATGATTACAGCTTGCATCCTAGCGTTTGCATTGGGCAAATGGACGTTGTTTGCGAGTATTGTGGTGCATTAAAGTTTTGCGGAGAAACGCCTGGATTATGCTGCGTTAATGGTAAAGTGAAATTGCCAGTGTTGACTCCGCCACAAGAGCCATTGTATTCATTGCTTTGCGGCGAAACACAAGAATCACGCCACTTTCTTGCAAATACTCGAAAATACAATAGTTGTTTCCAAATGACGTCATTTGGGGCAGACATTATCGAAGAAGGAGGTTTTAATCCGACATTTAAGGTATTTATTTTTGTACTTACATAGAATGTAGTTAAAGAATCTGGTTTTTATTTTGTAGATACAAGGACAGATTCACCATCGAATTGGATCATTACTACCTTTCGAAGATACACAGAATAAATTTTTACAAATATATTTCATGGGCAACATGGAAGAACAACTTGATCGACGCCTAGGGATCAATGCAGGAATGAAGCGAGCAATTCTTCAAGACTTGCAGTGTCTGCTTCATGAACATCATGCGTTGGTCAGGTTGTTTAAGAGTGCTTTAGAGCGCATGCCAAATGATGACTATAAAGTTGTCATCAAAGCAGATAAACGACCATCTGGAACACACGAACGCACATTTAATGCTCCAACAGTAGACGAAGTTGCCATCCTGATTGTTGGTGAACAATTTGAAAAACGCGATATTGTGCTTACACGTCGCGATACTGGGCAACTGCAACAAATATCGGAAACTCATCGATCATATGACGCATTGCAATACCCACTGATGTTTTGGAAAGGAGAAGATGGATATTATTTTAATACTAGCAGTACCATCTGCGTTGTTTGTTTTTGCGCCTGATAATAAAGCAAAAAATGTCGTGTATCACAAGGTGCTTAAGTGAAGAGCAACCTATGTACTAAAATACAGAAATAATAATGAATGATTAAGGAGGAGAAACAAAGAATATTGTATACCCACAAGTATTACAGAATTTAATTAATTTGAAAATTATTCTTTTTTGTTTGACTTATTTTTTATGCGTGCAACAACAATATGCCACAGCGAAACGTGGCAGGGTACTGCTAGTTATAAATAAATTACCTCATGTTTCTGATGAGGCCAAAACATTATGCAAAATGCTGCTAAAAAAATCGAATCCATATGACAGCGCAGAAAAACTGATAGCCCAGAATATAAATTTTTATTCTTCGCGAACGTATGAGTATATGAGGGATGTTTTAAAGTTAAAACTTCCTGCCAAAAGTACGTTGTGTCGATGGGCTCTTTTTAAAAATATGACGCCAGGATTTCAACCTGATTTTCTAGAAAACCTCCAGAAAATTGTTGGTGAAATGAGCGAAAAAGGTAAAGAAGCAGTGATCCTTTGTGATGAAATAAAAATCAAAAAAGGACTGCAATATAATACCGCTCTCGATGAAATTCAGGGATTTGAAAATGATGTTGAAAAAAGTGGGCAGCAAGTATGCGTCTTCATGGCTAGAGGCTTATTTGAAAATTGGAAGTACGTTTTAAGCTATACTGTTTCGGCTAACGGTATTAAGCATGATTGCCTCATGAAAAAAGTTGAAGCGAACATAGAAGTTTCGCAAACGTTGGGGTTAAACGTACGAGCCATAATATGCGATCAAGGCTCAAATAATAGAGCTGCATTTAAGAAATGGGGCGTTAACATAAACAAGCCGAGTTTCAATGTTAACGGTAAAGAAATATTTACAACATTTGATGCCCCACATCTTATAAAATCATTGAGAAACCTTTTAATAAAAAATAATTTAAATACGCCGGATGGAGATGTATCTTGGGATATAATAAGGAAGTTATACCAAATTGAGTCTAGAAACTCAACGAGGCTTTGTCCCAAAGTAACGGCGAAGCATATAAATCCAAACTCATTTGAAAAACTGAAAGTTAAATATGCAACACAAATATTTAGCCACACTGTTTCGGCCGCAATCCGAACAGTGATTGATTCTGGCGGATTTGTGGAATGCCGAAATAGCGCAGAAGCTACGGCAAATTTTATTGAAAAGGTTAAGCTCTTTGATTGCCTCAATAGCCATGTTTTGTATGAAAAAAATCCGTACAGGTGTGCACTGCAAAATAATAATAACGTTCACAATTACCTCTTAGAAATGAGGAATTATTTTGCAGAATTTAAATATCCACAAGTAGTACATTGCATTGACGGCATGATGTTAACAATTTCATCAGTACTTGCACTATCTGAAAGTGTGTGGAGCTCCGAAATCTTTTATTTATCAACCGCGAAATTGAATCAAGACCCCTTAGAAAACTTGTTTTATTTAATAAGGGCTCGCGGAGTAACAAATAACAATCCATCGATGTCAGAATTTAATACAATAATGTCAAAAATGCTATCAATGAAAATATTAACTTCGAAATCATTATCTGGTAATTGCGGCCCAGATGAAGATACAATGTTAATTAACGTTATCCAGGACTGCAGCTTGAATAAAACTTGCAAAGAGTTAAAAACCGACGAAGACAATACCGATTTCGAGATGTTCTCAGATGACGAGACGGAATATGAGCAAGTTTTGGATATTGCAACTGGTGACGAGTTTGATAGCAATGCCTTGCGATATTTTGCAGGCTTTGTTTATATATTGTTTAAAATTTTGGAAAAAAAAGATTGCGGAGTGTGTGCTGATCTATTAAAGAAAACAATAGAAGCACAAACCTGTACGGAAAATTTTGTACTGAATAAAAATTATGACTGCGCTGATAAAACTTTAAAACTTAAAGCTCCTTCTAACTACTATTTTTCTTTGATTGAAATACATTATTCTGTTTTTAAGAAAATATTTGAAAAAAAGCCACAGATGAACAGAATAAAGAAAACAATTATTCAATCTTGCATATCCTCCACTGAAAAATCCAGCATATATTCTAATTGGTTTTCGGTTACCCATCCCTGTTATGAACACAGGATGAAAATGCTTGACGGATTTTTTTTAATATTATTGAGGAAAAACAGCAAATGGCTAACAGAAAAAATGTATTTCAAAGGAAAAACTGCATCAGCAGCAGGTTCAAAGAAACTAAAAATACTCAAACAATAATTTTTGGTTTTGTAATTGTCTCATTATACCCTTGCAGAGGGTATTATAATTTTGTCCAAAAGTGTGCAACGCAGTGAAGGAGACATCTCCGACCCTATAAAGTATATATATTCTTGATCAGGATCACCTCCTGAGTTGATATGAGCATGTCCGTCTGTCCGTCTGTCCGTCTGTCTGTCTGTCTGTCTGTCCGTTTCTACGCGAACTAGTCTCTCAGTTTTGAAGCTATCGTCTTGAAACTTTGCACACACCCTTCTTTCCTTTGCACGCAGTATATAAGTCGGAACGGCCGGGATCGGCCGACTATATCCTATAGCTGCCATATAACTGAACGATCGGAAATGGTACTTGGTAGAAATATCAACTTTCGTATTTTGGAAGATAGAAGTTTGGGACTTATTTTAGATTTTGTATTTTAGTAAATTGGTTTTGGTTATGATGTAATCATAAGGATCGGCCAACTATATCCGATGTTTGCGATATATATCCGGTTTTAACTGCAAGGGTATATAAACTTCGGCTCCGCCCGAAGTTAGCTTTCCTTTCTTGTTTTATTATTAGGTTAGGAGTAGGTTATGTTAGGTAGGGAACAAGGAGATAGCCAATTAGTTTTGGTATCTCAAGTCGACTCGAAAGTGTAACGTCGGCGATAGTTCGAACGGGTTGGCAGCCTGAGGGGGTGCGGGGTTTCAGCCTTTCTGGCAGCCCGATCGCGTAATAGGACCCTGTTCAGCGTTTCGTGGAGGGTCTGATCGATCTGGTAACGCGCTCAAAGCTAAGGTTAGGAAACCGCGTGGGAGCGGCGTTCTTTTAGAATTTAACCACGAAACAAGCAAGTTCGGGCAAGCTAGGAGAAGCATCCAGAAATTTTCGAGCAACTGCACCGTAGTTTTACCCGCTGAGGAACCATCGTGCTGGTGCAGGACCAGCAGGCATACAGAAAGTAGAGCTGGGTCGACCACTCACGATAGTATCGATACATCGAATATTTGCGGCTGCGATGTTTTAGTCCCGATAGTTAACGATAGTGGAAAATTAAAAAAAGTTCTTACATTTGGCAAATAACACGTGGAGGTTAATATTGGTGTTGGCGGAGAAAATGGACAAATTTTTGCAAGGCGAAAACGATAAAGGTAGGTATCTAAACTATTGCAGTATATATGCATGTTTTGCGCCATAACTCAAAATCTAATTTGTGATGTATAATTTCTTACAGGCAAAAGTGCAAAAAGCAATTCGGAGGAGGACGCAAACCCCTTGAAAAGAATCGGGAAATCGAAAGTGTGGAACCACTTTAAAAGATCCCAAGGTGGTAAGACAGCCAGTTGCATGCACTGCAATAAAATTTACAAAACAAGTGGAAACACGTCAAATTTGTTTGACCACATGAAACGACTCCACCCGGGAATTTCAATGGACGAACAATTAAAAGGCCCAAATACAATTGTACCCTTTTTGGTTAGCCAATATGACCGAGACTCGTCAAGAAAAAAACTTATTGACAATGCTTTGGCAGTCCTTGTTTCGGCAGATATGCAACCGTTTTCAATAGTGGAGAATTCCGGATTTCGCGAGTTTGTTAAAGCTCTTGATCCACGATACACACTTCCTTCGCGAAAGACTCTTCAACATGTGCTTATGAAGAATATTTACGAAGACCTGAAAACAAAGCTTGCCACAATATTGAACGGAGTTGACAGCTGCGCAATCACGACAGACCTGTGGACTTCAAAAGCCAACGAGTCCTACATTACTGCCACTTGCCACTTTATAACAAATGATTTTGTTTTGCGTTCGGTTGTATTAGCCACAAAACCATTATTAGATGACACGAATCATTCTTCTCAAAACATTGCCGTATCATTGCGTGGCATTTGTGACGAATGGAACATTTTTGAAAAGATAGCAGCAATTACAACAGACAATGCGAGCTCGATGATAAAAGCTTGTGATCTTTTACAAAAAAACAAGAAAGGAAAGCTAACTTCGGGCGGAGCCGAAGTTTATATACCCTTGCAGCTAAAACCGGATATATATCGCAAACATCGGATATAGTTGGCCGATCCTTATGGGAATAGGAATATATAATCCAATTTATTACAATACAAAATCTAAAAAAAGTCCCAAACTTCTATCTTCAAAAATACGAAAGTTGATATTTCTACCAAATACCATTTCCGATCGTTCAGTTATATGGCAGCTATATGATATAGTCGGCCGATCCTAATGAAATTTGGTAGGTTGGATCAACTGGCCAAAACTAGAATCTGTATTAAATTCCAGCTATATATGGCAGCTATAAGATATAGTCGGCCTTATGAAATTTGGCATGACGTAGTGTTTTGCCAAAAATAGCTCTCATGTCAAATTTGAACTCTCTAACTCTAAAAACACCAATGTTATACCATTTCCGATCAATCAGTTATATGGCAGCTATAAGATATAGTCGGCCGATCCGGGCCGTTCCGACTTATATACTGCGTGCAAAGGAAAGAAGGGTGTGTGCAAAGTTTCAAGACGATAGCTTTAAAACTGAGAGACTAGTTCGCGTAGAAACAGGCAGACGGACAGACAGACGGACAGACGGACAGACGGACATGCTCATATCAACTCAGGAGGTGATCCTGATCAAGAATATATATACTTTATAGGGTCGGAGATGTCTCCTTCACTGCGTTGCACACTTTTGACCAAAATTATAATACCCTCTGCAAGGGTATAAAAATCTACCCTGTGTAGCTCACACCATAAACC